AGAAAGAATTTAGCCAGCAAAGGAATACCAAAACCGTTCAGGCTATTAGTGTGAGCATCTTCTGTCACTGATGTTACTGGGATTCCATACGCTGAGCGCAGCTACGCCAGTCCTTCGATCTTCAGCTGCACACTTACAGCTAGTATTCATCGCCTGTCCAATTTATGTGCACCACCTCCTTGAGGAGGCGCCCGAGTGCCATTTACTTTCTCACGTCTATCACTCACCAATGGGTGATGGCCATCGGTTGACAACAAGGCCAGCAACATGTGTTGTCTCTCGAATTTTATTTTCTCGCGTAACAGTAATGACATCCTGCACATCGTTCATCTGACGTTTATATGGTCACAGAGAGATACGCCAAGCACCCTTCGCTCCTACGTCTTCTCCGTCATAGCCAGCGTCCGCTCAGCTTTGGTGAGTGTCCATGTTTCGGAACCACACATCAATATCTTCAGCACAGCGGTACTGAAGAGGTGGGTACAGTCCTTAACCAGTTTCACACTTTGAGTGCAATTTGCGGCCCTTTGATGTTCCATTTCCAGTTGCGGATTTTGTCACATATTTAGTTCTTGTTTGAGACAGAAGTAACTGTCAACTTCTTCCAAGTCCACACCGTCTAATATGCAATCTTGTTTCAAGCAAACCAGAATACTGTATTGCGTTTTTTTCGACGCACTGCCGAGTAGAAGTTCCACAAGACGATGGCCAATGGTTGCTAATAACTGTAAAAACTGCTGCAAAAATCCTAAGAGGTTTTAGAAGGTACGAATCACGAGGAGCTTCCGGAAGACGATATCAATTTTTCGAACTCAGACATGGGTGGAGATAATTTTCTAAAATTCCAATTTATTTGATCAGCTGAAAAACCGAAGGAGTTACGTACGCGTGCAGACAAAAATACACACAAACTCATAAATTTCTCGTCAGTATGCATTTTTGTTATGAATGCACATGAAGACTATTCGAGTGGGAAAATGAAATTTGCAAAGGATTTTCCAAACAAGAAAACTTACGTAGCTTAGATTTAAATTATTACAGTCGACTTCTTCGACACCAATTGACCCGAGTTGGAAGTTAACTTCACTAGTATAATGAATCTGCAATCACAAAATGAACAAACGGTAAGCCATCGGAAATTTATGCTACATTATGTGTTCTGGCACGATACTTTGCATAAACAGCAAAATTAACGTTTTTAATTGGCTAGCACGGGAAAAGCCCCATCACCGAACTGAAGTTTTAAACTCACTTTCAAGTGCGGTAAAATACCACACTTCAGTCCAAAGCGCGAACCAAGTTGTTACAAACAAAGTATGAAAATGTAAGGAACCAGGCAACAAGATTATAATAAGTCACCAGGATGAACCCGTACGCTGGGCAAATTATATTCGCCCCTCGATCCTGAGCTGCATATCTCCAGCTATTAGCCACCACCTGCGTCGCCTCTCTGCAGAGTGCCTGAGTGTCCGTTTATTTCTCTGCGCTCACCATTTACTGATGATATACGATGTTCTCTAGTTGTAAAACCAGCGACATGGTCCCCCTTTCAGATATTACTATTCTGTATGACTGTAATGATATTCTGCACACTGTTCATCTGATGCAGAGGCTGACCACATATTTGGTTATGAAGAAAAAATTCTGACTTCCTTCGCTCTACTGCTTCCATTTTGTTTTTATGCATTGTTCACTGACAATGTTCCGCATCCGTATGTCATAGCATCCAAGAGATGAGCACTCCTTTCATTATGATACTTCAGGCAGTCGTTGATGTTGGGGATTGCATCAATCAGCAACCTATCTACATGCATTTTTGTCCAGAGCCTGTGACAGAGATTTACTTCTTGGCCAAAACAGGCGTAATTTCCACCTTCTTCCAAGATAAAAGCATATGCAAATTGTCTGCGAGCAATTATCTTCGTTCCCGATTAGTTAATTTTCAAGTCCACCTCCTCACTTCGTCCGCTAGCCTCCTGTCAATTTGCAGGAACTGCCCTTTTGTCTTCCGAAACTCGTGAAGGCTTTGTCTTAATCGCACTGTTGTCGCTAGTCGTGCTAAAGCAAAAAGCTGAACGATTCTGAGCATCTTATTCGAAACAAGAATCAGCAGGATTCGTCACGGGCGGAAATGGCAAAGTGCGACTAATTCTCGTTGGCGGCAAACCCCTCTTCGCCAGCACTCTTCTGCCCTTCTTTACAAGCAAATTGCTTAATTATGTATTCGGCTTTTCGCCTTCACTCGCAAACGTTGCGAGCATCACATAATGTTTCATCATTTTCCCAGGACAGACAGCCCAAAAGTTCATCTTGTGGCACCGGCCCACAGTTGTAAGGCCATATCAAGAACCTCGGACAGTTCCCCGATAATCTTCGTTGACTACCTGAAATTTTGAGCAATCCCTTGCCCTTCGACTGTCGTTCCACCGTTACAAACTGAGCAAAAACGGGCTCAGAATAAAAGAATTTGTTTTTCAATCCTTTTTTTTGTTGTTTTTCATAATACGCTTTAGCGTATATTTTGCACTTTGTGCTAAGCTGAATGACCGACATTTCACTACCAATCGTTGTGCAGGCCAACAGTGGCCTGTACTGCTCAAGCTTAGCCGGACCAAATGCGGCAAACACCTTTCTGGCCAAACTTGCAACCATTACAGCCATTGCGCTATCTTGTCTTAACACCATTTAGCCTGTATGCTCACCACGCGATAGGTGTTTAGTTCGGAATTTTGCGTAATCACACTTATCACAGTACTAATAAAAATTAGTTTTCCGCACTTTTTCAAAATCTTTTTTTCTTCCTTTCTTTTCCTTTCCCTTTT